CATGCCAATCCTGACCAAACTGGGACAATCCTGGTCAAACCAGGCCAATCCTGGTCAAACCAGGTCAATCCTGACCAAACCGGGACAATCCTAGTCAAACCAGGCCAATCCTGGTCAAACCAGGCCAATCCTGAGCAAACCAGGACAATCCTGGTCAAACCAGGCCAATCCTGGTCAAAGCAGGCCAATCCTGGTCAAAGCAGGCCAATCCTGGTCAAACCAGGCCAATCCTGGTCAAACCAGGCCAATCCTGACCAAATCGGGACAATCCTGGTCAAACCACGCCAATCCTGGTCAAACCAGGTCAATCCTGACCAAACCGGGACAATCCTAGTCAAACCAGGGCAATCCTGGTCAAACCAGGCCAATCCTGACCAAACCGGGACAATCCTAGTCAAACCAGGCCAATCCTGGTCAAACCGGGATAATCTTGAATAAACCGGGACGTATGGTAACCATATGCATAACCCCTATGGGTTTAACACCCCTAAGAACCGGGGCAGGAGCTGGAGAATACTTGCCACTCAATTTCTGTACTTTTTTCCCCCCTCAAGGAAGGTTCCTTGATGTTGGTGAGGGGCTCTTGATTTAGGGAATTGGATCTGTGCTCCAGTTCCCCAAATTAAGCCTGAATGCCTTCCACATCCCCCCCAGGCGCTGTATAATCCTCCGGGTTTAGCGCTTCCCCCTTGATTATAATAATAATAATAATGTACTTTTTTCCAAACTACATTTACAGAGGATGCAGTTTTGCTTCATAGATTACATGTCAGACAAATATAATAATGCAATAAACGATGTAAAACAATGGTTATGACAAACATTATTATTATTATTATTGTTATTATTATTATTATTATTATTATTAACAAAAGCGCAAAGATAACCAAACATTGAACATTACTAGGATTAAATCATGGTCAAATTCACATAATGACAGGATCTCCATAACTGTCACAGCACTCTATGACCCACATGGGTTTAGCATACAATTATTATTATTATTATTCCATAATTACCACTGAGTCTGCATGTGGCATAACATCTGAAATTGTCATCGCACGTGGAATTAAAACCTCAAAGTTGCCGTAGTTACTAAAGCCTCGGTGAACGACTGGAAATTTTTAATCCTCAGTTAGTGATGGTTTTATTATGAAACCTATATTCATCTTGTGACTGGCAGTTGCCACATACCCATCCTATTACTGGTAGTTGCCACATACCCATCCTATTACTGGTAGTTGCCACATACCCATCCTATGACTGGTAGTTGCCACATACCCATCCTATTACTGGTAGTTGCCACATGCCCATCCTATTACTGGTAGTTGCCACATACTCATCCTATTACTGGTAGTTGCCACATACCCATCCTATGACTGGTAGTTGCCACATACCCATCCTATTACTGGTAGTTGCCACATACCCATCCTATGACTGGTAGTTGCCACATACCCATCCTCTGACTAGCAGTTGCCACATACCCATCTGTGGGCCTGGTGGCAAAAGCTCTCGCTTTACACAGCGAGGGTCCGGGTTTGATTCCTGGCGAAGGGGTGGAAACATTGGGCTTGTTTCCTTTCACTGGCTGTCTAACGTACATGGTTATAAATGACCATAATTTTTAAAGGGGGGTGGACCGGTAAGTCAGTGGAAGGCCTCGGTCAGATGACCAAAAGCTCCAAAGGCGGGTCATCATCTGACTAACACCCGCGTCAGGAAACATTTGTCCTGTTTCCTGACGAACCTTACCTGACCTAACCTAACTGGCTCTCTATGTTCACTCCATTAGTATATTATTATTATTATAATCAAGGGGAAGCACTAAACCCGTAGGATTATACAGCGCCTGGGGGGGGATATGGAACGCATTCAGGCTTAATTCAGGGAACTGGAGCACAGATCCAATTCCCTAAATCAAGAGCCCCTCACCAACATCAAGGAACCTTCCCTGAGGGGACCCATTAGTATAAAATGGGTGCCTGGGTGTTAGTGGACTGGTGTTAGTCGCATCCTGGGACAAAACTAACTTTTTTATTATTATTATAATCAAGGGGGAAGCGCTAAACCCGGAGGATTATACAGCACCTGGGGGGCGGGGATGTGGAAGGCATTCAGGCTTAATTCGGGGAACTGGAGCACAGATCCAATTCCCTAAATCAAGAGCCCCTCACCAACATCAAGGAACCTTCCTTGAGGGGAAAACTGACTTAATTTGCCCGAAATGCTCTGCATAACAAGCAGCTTTCTATATAGTAGTATGTCACTGATGTCAGCTAGGACTGTATACACTGTACATGTAGTAAATAAAGATATTATTATTATTATTGTGGGTGGTACTCACCACATACCCATCCACTGCATTGTGTAATATATTGCAGTTTATTCTTGAAAAGTGAAATATTTATCAAAACATTTTGCTTTTCTGGGACACTGTTAATAGTTTTCAGTGGATGACCAGATATATTCATGAATAATAAAAGTTCGATAACTCAAATTTTCTTTATTCAAATACCTGTAAAAAAATACCATTTAAAATACATAGTGTGATCATTTATAAGACTGTGAAACAACAGAAGTTGTGATTTGCTGAGTAGTGTATATGGTGGTGTTTCATAGTTGTCAGCAGTAGGATGTGAGGGAGGTATTGACAGGTAGTGACTTGAACATCCAGCAGACACATGTTTGTTAGTTCTATAACATCCAATAGACATGTGTCTGTGATGTTGAACATCCAGCAGACACATGTATGTGTAAGTTACATCTTGTTCATCCACCAGACATGTGTTTTACATCTTGAACATCCATAAACATGTGTAAGTTACTCTAGAACATTCACAAACATACATGTGAATGTATGTGTGTACACTCACCTATTTATGGTTGCAGAGGTTGATTCTCAGGTCCTGGCCCTGCCTCTTACCTTGCCAATCTCCAGATTCACTGAAATGTAGCCTTGTTGGCCCTATCACACCTGCTCTAAAATTATGTACGGAGCTTGCCTCCACCACAACCTCACCAAGATCATTCCACTTCCCGATCACTCTCAGATTGAGGAAATACTTCCTAAAATCCCTGGTGGTTCATCTGTGTCTAACTTCGATCTGTGTCCTCCAGTTTCCATTTCTTGCCTCTCAAACAGCCTATCTCTGTTTACCTTATCAATTACCCCTCAATATTTTGTATGTTGTTTTCATGTCTTACCACCAACCACCACAAAAAAATACACCCACACCAGCCAGCAAATTTTTATTCCCAAAATATTTTGTTTTCATTAACACATTTGGCCATTTCCCAACATGGCAAAATGGCCTGAAAAAGAAGAAACACTGGGCTAGGCTATTGTAACTTGACATTAGTAATTCTTGTTATTAGCCTACAAGGCCTGTCTTCCATATAGTACTGTACTCAGTATGATGGGACCTCATTTATTTTTTAAATTTAATGAATAAATCCAGGAAAAGTACTGGAAAGTTAAAACTAAGATTACACTGGCAGAGCCATGGGAAGGCTTGAGGGGAGGCTTCAGCCCACCCAAAAAAAAATCCTTCAGACCCCAATAAAAATAATAATAAGTATGGAGAGTATGGAGGAGATGAATGTATTCAGACATTGAGGAAAAAAAGTGAGTGGTGCACTGAGGAGTCTGTGGAGACAAAGAACTTTGTCCATGGAAGCAAAGAGGGGAATGTATGAGAGCATAGTTATACCAATGCTCTTATATGGGTGCAAAGCATGGGTGGTGAATGTTGCAACAAAGAGAAGGCTGGAGGCAGTGGAGATGTCATGTCTGAGGGCAATGTGTGATGTGAATACAATGCAGAAAATTTGTAGTTTGGAAATTAGGAGAAGGTGCGGGATTACAAAAACTATTATCCAGAGGGCTGAGGACGGATTGTTGAGGTGGTTCAGACATGAAGAGAGGTTGGAACAAAACAGAATGACTTCAAGTGTATAAATCTGTAGTGGAGGGAAGGCAGGGTATAGGTCAGCCTAGGAAAGGTTGAAGGGAGGGGGTAAAGGTGGTTTTGTGTGCAAGGGGCTGGGACTTCCAGCAAGCATGTGTGAGCATGTTAGATAGGAGCGAATGGAAACAAATGGTTTTTAGGTCTTGACATGCTGTTGGAGTGTGAGCAAGGTAACATTTATGAAGGGATTCAGGGAAACTGGCAAGCTGGATTTGAGTCCTGGAGATGGGAAGTACAGTCCCTCCACTCTCAAGGAGTGTTAATGTTGCCATTTTATAACTAGTGTAAGTGCAAGTGCACCTCTGGCAAGACAGTGATGGAGTGAATGATGGTGAAAGTTTTTCTTTTTCAGGCTACCCTGCCCTGGTGGGAAATGGCCGATGTGTTAATAAAAAAAAATATACATAAATTAGTAACCCACACACAGGAGGGGAACTTGGTGATGACGTTTCAGTCCGACTTGGACCGCTGACTGGTCACACTGACACACAAAGGTAAGGGAGCCAGTAAAATATGAGCTCCCTTACCTGTGTGTGTTGGTGTGTGGCTGGTTGGTGGTCCAAGTTGGACCGGAGTTGACGTGGGTTTCTTTCTCCTATGTGCGAATTATATTTGTGTAATGAAATGAAGGGTGTTTATGTACTGTCAGTACTACACTGAGGAAACTAAAATGCTGGGAGCAAGGGGCTAGTAACTCCTTCTCCTGTATAAATTACTAAATTTGAAAAGAAGAACTTTCGTTCTTCTTTTTGGGTCGCACTTCCTTGGTGGGATACAGCCGGTTCTTTGAAAAAAAATAATGCTTCCAAAAAAGTCTCCTAGGCCCTCTTCCAAACAGATAGCCAACCCTAATTAGTCCCCAGTATGGAAATTCTTGTGTTGCCCTTGTGTAAGAAGGTGGTTACACACACAAAAACCCTGTATGATAAACAGCTTTGGAGTATATATATACTTGAAAACAAAAAGGATGAATTAATTGTATCTAGGAGGTCGGAAAGTTGTGCAATATCTTATGTTAATAAATCACATCAGTTAATTCAATAGCTTTATTATACACTCCATACCCATCTTGTGGGTTGCAGTCAAAAGATTACAGAGGAATATAATAGGTCCAGGAACTGAGCCCTGGTAAATCACAAGCCCCCCCAAAGGGGGGGTTTCAGAATTAAAAATATACAGTAATCCCTGGACATTCACAGAAAAGGTTTTTAAGAGATCACAGTGAATTTCAAAAAAAAATCACCTGTCCAGGGTTTTATATAGGAGGGGCTGAGGGGATGGCAATCTGTTTAGTAGAGGGGGCTAGGGAGCTCATCTTGAAGCAGTGTTATGATTATGATTCTGAGGGGGCTGATGGAATTTTGGGGGCCTTCAGCCCACATAGTCTGTGTTTGGTGCTCCCCCTGTCTATGAATACCAAAGTTTATTCACATGACAGTCACAAGAAAATGAAGTGAACAAATTCCAAAAGAATGCTGTACTGTATATGGAAGATGGCAGCATTGGTCATAGAGAGCTGATATCTTACACAATATTCAAGAAAATATTTTTATGATAGCTGGTCATGAAAAGGTATGGACATCAGTAAACCTTTACATTAGCATAAAAAAATGGTGACCTGGAAAAGGTACTGATAAAAACTGACTAAACAGCATCAGTCAGTTGCCAGTAACAGAGTTTATAGTGATTGTTCAAGTCAAAGAAGACATAAAAACTACACCATAAAACCCAGGAATGCTCAAAAGCTGGATGAGTCTTGGTCAATAAGATGCTGATTTTAAGGGGCTTCACCCATACTGCACCCATATAAGGCATTTCCACATGTAGCTAAGAAAGGTCTATCGATTAAAAGTCAAATGAAATTTTCTTAAACTAAAGTTTAAATGTTTTTTTCAACGAACTGGCCGTATCTCACCAAGGCAGGATGACCTAATAAGAAAAACAAAAGTTTCTCTTTTAAATTTAGTAGTATATACAGGAGAAGGGGTTAGTAGCCCCTTACTCCCGGCATTTTAGTCGCCTCTTATGACACGCATGGCTTATGGAGGAGGAATTCTGTTCCACTTTCCCATAAAAAATTAAAATAGTACTTTGATTAATAATCCTCTTCATTAGGCATACTGAATAATGTTTTCCTCTCAGAAACAATTTTTCATATGATGCTGTACAGTTTAGGATAAAGTGAACACTATTCACAATCAACCCACAAATTGGAGATGCTGTAATCTTCAGATGACATTTTGGTCCATCCTGGAACATTGTAAGGTCTAGCACAAACCAAAATGTTACCGTAAGTTTAATCTCCCATTTGGGAGTTAGTTGTGAATTGTTTTACCCAAGATATTGTGACTTCTATTTTTTTTTTTTAGCATTATTCTCTCTTTCCATACCATTTTCTTAATTTCCATATGTTGTACCTTTCTATTCTATTACTTAGCTTACTTCTTAAGATTACTAAAATTTATATATTTTTCTCCTTAGTGTTCATATAGTTCAACAGTAATTATCTTGCAAGGTGAGTCAGCTTATTACCATTACAAGCATTGGTGAACTTTCCAGTGTCTCATTACCAAGCTGTCCTCTAGGTACAGCACACAAATGTAGTGAAATGCACATTGCGCAAGTCACCAATGAATATCTTTCACAAGTACAATTTTATTTTTGTGAAAGACAAATAGCTGAGACACAGTAAGAACACAAAATTTGTGAAATTGTATTCACTATAAAGAATCCCTCTTAGACAATACAATGAACCTCCACAATTATTCACAATATGGTGTGATAATATACAGAGCAAACTGACCTCTTTAAATTAATGGATGTTGACCTTCTGACCTTGAATAATAATAATGTACATGTATTTTGTTTTACAATTGTATTTTAATCTTCAAGGGTCACAAGGCTGGAGAAACCTCTGAAGCCAAAATTTACTTGGCTTTAGAAATCAGATCTAAACTATCACACAACAATTCACAAGAAGCCCAATATATACCCTATACTATAATGTATAAAACCACTCTATTCAGACCCTAAGAGAAGGTCTTTTGAATTGTAGTTTTATTATACTGCACACTGTTAACTATGAAAAAGTACCTTGTGCGTATTACCAGTATCATTGTTTTTCAGTTGAATCTGGCAACAGGTATATATATTACAATTAGACAAACAAGCATCCTGTTGATTATATCAAAATGCCAACCCCCCCCCCCCCCCACAATGTATACAATAATGTATGAGATGATTCTGCAGTGAAAAATTAATCATCTGATATGAATAAACTAAAAACATTATCAAAAGAAAACAAAACAGCAGGTGGTACTTGTAAGAGCAAACAGTACTGATACCTCCCAGCTATGTTTTAAAAATACAGTAATAGTATACAGTACTATAAGGAAGGCTCAACACCACCTTTACTGTATAATACACGTATTCAACTTATGAGAAACCTTTTAATAAGAAATGTTTATTAAATTTTCTCTTAAGTTACATATGTTACTTTTTATAATTTTTTGGTATTACCTACACCTTACATGTTAAGACCACCCTGACTTCCAATGCCTTGTGAGTCTTTCGCTCATCATACAAGAACTTGTATTAATAATACTGCCATGTGTAAAAAATTCTACATAATTGGTAGCAGGTGATTACTGAGTAACAAGAATTACTACACAATATTAACTGACACAAGGGATATAGAAGACATTATTCCATGATCAATGGTATTTAAAAGAATTCAATAATATACTCTGGGTAATACTCTTCCTTATCATACTTGACAAAGATAGTCGGAGCATCTACATCATCCACAGTTGTGTCGTAGAATGTGTTATTAGAAATGTTGGCTGGTGGACGGGTGAGTGTTGGTGATCCTTTAATCACACTGCCAATTATGACTTCTGCTAATATTAATACGTAGTGGCCACTTTCATTTATGGTACTGTGACGACGGGCGATTGCAGCGCTGAAAATTTAAAGAATTTTTTATATTTTCTTAGCAATCTGTGCTTTACATCCACATAGTAACTACAGTATTACTTAATGAATAGACACAAATGCAGTATAATGCAATCTGTTATTGGCAACTTTAAGCCCACACAGTGGGCTTTATCAAGTCACAAACAGAGCTACCTGGTGAGAGAGGATGTGCATATTTTAGGGAACATAAGGGGACCATCAGGTAGCCGGCGCACGGAGCAAAAAAAAAATTGAAAAAATAAGAAAATTGAGTTATTGTTACCAAAAAATAGCTGAACTTTCTGGCTACACTCTGGTATAATTATTATCCTTGTATGGTGTTTCTAAAAGGAATTACAGTCATTTATAACAGGCATGGTGACAGCGCCTTGCGTAACAAGCGCTGACGTGGCATTTTTTTCCCCGCCCCCCCCCCCGTGTTATTTTTATCCTTTTCTTATATATTTATGTCTAATATAATACAAATTCACTGTCTGAGATCATGCCAGAGGGGGCGGAGATAATATGATCAAGTAACCAATCAGGTACCCTGGGTGTAGTACCCAAAATGGCCAACACCTCCAGCCAACAAAATATTCCATACCCACGCTAATATCAATTATAAGGCTTATTTACCTATCACAATTGATCTATTATGACATAATGCAATATAATAATATCATATAAACATAAAAAGTACACCTTAAAAAATAATATATATCATAATATGATGCCCCAGAGGAAAAAATTTTTATCGGCGTATTCCCTGAAGGTGAAGAGAGGGTCTGTTTTCTCATATGTAATGAGAGAAAACGGATTTACAATGTTTAACTGTAATAAACACTCGTAGGTCACGGAAAAAGTGTAAAATAAAGCGAATTTTTCTGGGGAAAAAAAAATCCTGGGCACCTGGGGTGCCTATAAGTTATTTATCTATTTAGGGGCAATCCATCTTTATTTATGAATGAATTGACTTGATTTTCACAACAAACTTAGGAGAATGATTGCCTTACAATGTAACGTATTCCTTTCTGAACTATCCCAAATATTTTTAGATTTATGTGGGCAACAAGACCGACATCTTCCAATATGTCAAAAAAGTTATGAAACTTTATTTTTTTTTAGCATGAAGATAAGGTTTATTTTAGAATTGGTACACATACATTGATGGAATTAGAGGTGTTCTATCAGCAGCAAGTGTCAAAACCACTTTTCCAAGTACCACTGAGTACAAGTCCGCTGCCAAATGCAATTTCTCGTAAATTTTGCATATTTCATTTCCTTTTTGGCTGATATGTTTGAAACTTCAGCACAGGATACTCGATATAAGCTTCTAATAGTACACAAAAAATGAACGTAATCGGTTGAAAAATAAAGAAGTCGATATGTTACACCTGAAGCTCCCCTAATGATGTGAAGAGTCATATTTCACCTGACTCTTCATGTCACTGGAGCACACCTGGAGGGGGTTTTGGGGGTTAATGCCCCCGCAGCCCAGTCCAAGACCAGGCCTCACGATGAATCAGGACCTGATTAACCAGGCTGTTACTGCTGGCCATATGTAAACCAACATATGAGGCACAGCCCAGCTGATCAGGAACTGACTTTAGGTGCCTGTCCAGTGCCTTCTTGAAGACAGCCAGAGGTCTATTGGTAATTCCCCTTATGTATGCTGGGAGGCAGTTGAAAAGTCTTGGGCCCCTGACACTTACTGTGATGTCTCTTAGTGTACTCATGGTGCCCCTGCTTTTCACTGGGGGGATGTTGCATCTCCTTGCCAATTCTTTATGTTCAGATTTAGAATCAGATTCAGATTAATTATTTCAGCTGGATACAAAGTTTGTACAGAGATGGGTGACATTTAGATGTGTATTCAGAAATCTGTTTGTGACTTGATAAGTTGACTGTGTAGGCAAAATGTTCTCAATATAGGGTCCCATTATACTGCATGTGTGTCTTCATCCATCATGTCAGTATTTCATACTATTTCTTTCTACAGTAGTACTGTTGCTCTCTGGAAGGTCCCATGAACAAAGTGAAAAGAACATAATAACAATGAGATCACCCAATCTAAACAGATTCCCCTTGCTTGCTCATGCCTTCAAACCTCTTCCTCTCTTATTCTTACTCAGCATCAACATGCACACATATATGCACTTTATCATTCCTTATCCTGTCCCATCTACTATAAACAAATGCTTTACTAAAGCAGCTAATTTTCCTAACTTGAAATTCTAAAGCTGCGGTGTTATATTTGTTTCAACAACTGTATAAAATAATTTCTTGTTTATACTTCTTGTAGATATTGAATGAAAGAATTGTGTTGGCCGATTGCCAATTGGTTTTTGACATGATAAATTTAAAGTTCCTAGGTAGTAGGCTGGTAAACAGCAACCACCCAGGGAGGTACTACTGTCCTACCAAGTGAGTGTACAATGAAAGCCTGTAATTGTTTTACATGATGGTAGGATTGCTGGTGTCTTTTGTCTGTCTCATAAACATGCAAGATTTCAGGTACATCTTGCTACTTCTACTTGTACTTAGGTCACACTACACATACATGTACAAGCATATATACACACACACACACACCCCTCTGGGTTTTCTTCTATTTTCTTTCTAGTTCTTGTTCTTGTTTATTTCCTCTTACCTCCATGGGGAAGTGGAACAGAATTCTTCCTCTGTAAGCCATGCGTGTTGTAAGAGGCGACTAATATGCCGGGAGCAAGGGGCTAGTAACCCCTTCTCCTGTATATATTACTAAATGTAAAAGGAGAAAATTTTGTTTTTCCTTTTGGGCCACCCCATCTCGGTGGGATATGGCTGGTGTGTTGAAAGAAAGAAAGATATTTAAAGTTCTAATTTCATGATCATCCTTTTCTTATACAAGAATAAATAGCAAAGATAGTGTAAAGACAGTTATATGTACTGAGAGGTGTGTATCTCTCATTGTATATAAACTGAGAGATTACTTTCATTCCAGTTTTGAGGATTAAATTATTTTTAACTGGTGATGCAGAGGTGACAAAGAACTAATGACCCTCTTGTAGTCAAACCCACAAAACCAACTAAAGTGTAAACAAATTCTTTGTTGTTTCTACTTTTTCCTTACTTTTAAGTAGATGTGTAATTACATAATGTCTTTATATACAGTACATTACTGTATTGGTTTTAAAAAAGTACAGTGCAATATACACAAAAACATAAAAATCGGCTATTTTACCTATTGGAGAAGTATGTTCCTTTTCCAAAATTTTGTTCGACAGTAATACCCTGACGCCAATCAATGTTCTCTTTACAAACAGTGTCAATCTTCGCAGAGTCGGTTCCATGAAACAGCTTCTGAACATTCAGTTGGTTTTCATCATACCTGCCCAAGAGACATATTTGTATTAATCATAATTTAGGATAGGTCTTTTCTAATTTTAAGTTAAAGATTTTAATCCTCCTCCTCTAGTTTATAAAATTTTACTTCTCTCTTACTTGTTGACTGCATTCTCCTTGTACCCCATCTACCTCCTACTCTCACTGTAGCTACAACTATATAATGATAATATATCTACTGTCCTAGCCCCTTCTGTATAAATTACTACTTGTGAAAAGAAACTTTTGTTTTTCTTTTTAGGTCACCCTGCCTCAGTAGGATACAGCTGGTGTGCTGGTGCATTGAAAAATAAAGAATATCTATTGCCCCTCTATAAATGTGCACATCTGAAAGTCTACCCATCAACTTCTTATCCACTAATACAGGCAGACCCTACTTTACAGTGTTTCACTTTACAATGTTTCGCTAATGCAGAAGATTTCAATTATTCCCGTTCTTCATTTATTCAGCCTTCTTATGTCTCACTTTACAGCGATTTTTCGCTTTACAACAGTAGCCCAGAACCTAACCAGCTGTTTATGCAGAGCCCTCTTGTACATATCCAATAAACTTGTGTCATTACAACCTGTATCATATAGGGTACTTATATATCCTCCTTTTCTTAAAATATGTATTACCTATTACCAAACCTCTTTCTATACAAAGTTAATCAAAGACTCTCCCCATAATCATTTACCCCTGGCACTCCAAACTCACCTGCTACACCATCTAAAACAGTTGCTTCCACTTTAGCATTGAAGTCCCCCATTACAATTACTCTCACTTCATTCAAAACTCCCTAAACACTCACTTAACATCTCCCAAAATCAATTTTTCTCCTCTATACTCCTCTCTTCTCCATAAACAGTATACATGTAATCAACTTTTTGCATCTGACCCTTATTTTAATCTACAAAATCTTGAATGTACAGACAAAATTTTGAAAAGATTACCTTTGAGATAAGAATGCCTTTTTATACTGAAAAAGGCGCCATAAATAGGGATTTTGCAGTCTTTCAATTTTTTGTATATTAGCATTGGGAAGCATCAGACGCAAATGTGATGAAACCTCTTGGTAATCCTCATTAGCCGGGCCCAGAGGAACAAGGATGTGGGTTTCATTCCCTCCCATTGCAATCCAATGATCGGGCAGAGAACTCTGGTCAGAACTTGAAACCTTTTTCTGACAGGAAAGCCTTGATGGGCGTCGACGAATTTCCCTCGCCTTGTTTGTTTTTAGATTGGTTTGAGTCATTTTTGCAAAGTCCAATTTGTACTGGAACTGAGCATTACTTATCAACATTGATGAGGAAGGATCAGACAAATATTGCTTTTCAACCTCTTCACTAGTGATATTGCAAACAAGTTCCTGTTTGCCCAAACTATCAACCTCACCATAACGAATCCATTTGCCTTGATCATCACTGAAGTACCAATCATAAACAGTAGATTTTGGACCCTCAGATTCTCCTGCAGATCGAGTTGAGATTCTCCGAATTTTAAGATGCTCTGATCCTGAGGAATTTTGTATGTATTGCTCCTTAAAATCTGCTCTCCACGACTCAGTCCCAAGAATATTCAACAATTCTTTAGCATTAGACTCCAGTTTGCTTGGATCAAGGGGAGGTATCATGATGCCACTTTTGTCGACATCTCGGTAAGCATTTTCAAGCGTCTTTGACTGAAATATGCGAAAATTGTACCATTTGCCCTCATTTTCAAACTGCCAATGAAAAAGGCTTTTGGCATGGAGAAATCTACAGCCTTTCTTGACATTGATACATTTATCATTAACAGCATAAATGCATATCTCAGGTACTTCTACATCACCATAAACATCAGAAGAATAAATGGTTTGCCTTTTGTTTTTCTGTTTGGCTTTAGCATCATTATTACCTTTTACAGATTTTCCATCTTTTTTCTGATTCTTATCTGTAATGTCACTGTGTTCAGAAGAATCCGAATCATTTTCACTATCTGACGAAGGGTTATCTTGGTTATCTTGAATATCTTTACTACTAGCACTAGAGCTTTTACCTTTCTTCTTTTTTCCACTTTTGTCCTCAGATTTGCTACTTGAAGCTGAGGCCTCTTTGGCCTCACTTTTACTGGCTTTGGATTTTTTTGCCTGCTTCTTTCCTTCACTTTTTGGCTTATCAGACAAAGTTTGAGACATTTCATTTTGTTCATCCTCTCCTTTGTTATCCTTACCATCTGACTTTTTACCTTTCTTCTTATTTTTGCTCTTTTTTTTCTCAACAGAAGTCGAGGAATGGTCACTGTCCTGTTCGTCTTTACATTCAATATTTTTATCACTTTTTTTAATTTTCTCACCTTTTCCCTCGCTCTTTGAAGTGTTAGATTTCATACTGGATGTTGAAGTTGAAGATTCTTCTTGATTTTTAACTAAGGACATAAGGCTCATCAAAATATCACGTGGACTCTCATTTACAGAAATGCCAAATCTCTTCAGCAATCGTTTACAGTGATCATTAAGAATATCATGGTTTAAGGAACAATCTGATACTGAACACTTTCCACAATTCATCACAAAATCTTTACAAATATGGATATTATTGCAATTCTCATTCCTTTTGCACCCATTTTTGCTATTGTAAAAGGAACAAATTTGAGAAGCAGTACCTTTACAGACCTTCCTCATCACTTGATGTAAAACACGTTTATCAATCAAATCCAAATATAACTTTGAGAGTACACTGTTATTGTGATTAGTGTCCCATCGATGTCCATATTGGCATGATGTTCCAGCATCACAATATGCTGTCACAAAGGTCTTACACATGTGAAGAGCTTTACAAGAGCCAGAGGAAGCACAACCATCTTCAGATAAGTAATCTGAACACAAATTTATTTTAGGAACAAGCTCAATTACCAAACCTCTGTCTCTCACCATGTAGGAAAATATATCTTTTCGAGACTTCACCACCTCTGCAACTTCCTGCTCACTTTTCTGAACTTGACGACTTAGTATGTCACATGTGGTCCACTGCCCTTCAAACAAAACAATAGCTTTTACTATGGCTTCTGGAGTTAGCCCTGTATTCTGTGATTTTTGTTTTGGCTGCTTTTCACTGTGCTGAGTACTTCCATACTGACTGTGACTCTTTGATTCCTCATATGATGGTGGTGGCTGATTAAAATATCCTGTGCCAAACTGGGGCCCATGTTGAGGAGAAAATCTATATGGAGGAGGTGCATAGGAAAGTGGAGGAGGCATTTGACCTCCATAGTTTGGAGGGTATTCATGCTGATAACTAGGAGGTCCCTGTGTGTGTGGTGAAGAGTAACGAGGCCTGTAATTAGGACCTTGATATGGTGGAACAGGACCAAGACTCTGTCTGAAGCCCTGCTGTTGCTGTGGTTTATTTGTCTTTCCATGCCATCCATGTGCTCGTGATTCTTTGGGCTGGATATTCTTATCAGAGCTTAGGTTTGTCATAGACTTACTACCTCTATTTCCCTGAAAAAAAAAAAAATAAGTAAAGCAATATGTTAATACAAGCATAATAAATGTAATATTATGTAGCAGTAAAAATCTTGAGTTAATTTTCTTTGTATCTCCAAGATTAGTTCAGTGTGTACAAGGCATACAATCTGAGAAACTTTATGTGAACTTTGTAAAAAGTACTGCAGCTCCAATATAACGTACAAGTACTACTCAACCCTTATCTCTTTAGCCCTTTCCCATGAATATAATAATGCATACTGTAAATAATAATAATAAATAAATTAAAATAATAATAATAATAAATAATAATAATAATAATAGTAAAGGAGGTTTTGTGTGCGAGGGGCTTGGACTTCCAGCAGGCATGCGTGAGCGTGTTTGATAGGAGTGAATGGGGACAAATGTTTTTTAATACTTGACGTGCTGTTGCAGTGTGAGCAAAGTAACATTTATGTAAGGATTCAGGGAAACCGGCAAGCCGGACTTGAGTCCTGGAGATGGGAAGTAGAGTGCCTGCACTCTGAAGGAGGGGTGTTAATGTTGCAGTTTAAAAGCTGTAGTGTAAAGCACCCTTCTGGCAAGACAGTGATGGAGTGAATGATGGTGAGAGTTTTTCTTTTTCGGGCCACCCTGCCTTGGTGGGAATCGGCCAGTGTGATAATAATAATAATAAAAATAATAATAATAATAATAATAATAATAATAATAATAATAATAATAATACAGTTTAGTACAGAATTATAAAAAAATTAATATTCTAAATGAAAATATATGTGCAAACATATTAATGAAATGATCAAACTGAATGAAATATATACTCCATAACATTTGTACATTATTTGTACATTCTTAATTGATAACAAATACATGTATATGACAGGAAAATTCTGGCCATAATAATTTTGATATTAAAAAAATTTATGTATATCAACAACAGCAAAGACCAAGAAATTATCAGTCTGCACAAAAAAGGCATGTGTGATGAAGATGGCTTTAAAATGGCCTTGAAAATAGCTACAGTAATTAACTTTAATCAAAGTTCATTATGGCTTACTTTGTTCTTAGGTGTTTTTTCAGCAGTTGCTGATGCTGATGCAGCCTTCTCTGATGCCACTAGAAGAACAATGTGAAGAATCAGTGCTGCTATGTGCACCTATGGTATTTGTGCTTGGGGATCAACCACCACCAATCACCTTAAACCATTAATAACCCAACAAAAAACTGCTGTGTGGATGATTGCCAACTCTTGCACCAGACAACATACTTCACTGCTCTTCAAGAGCTTGAACTTACTTAATATATAAAATATACACTCATATTATTGTGCCTACTATATATACAGAACATTAAACTTATATAAACCCACCTCTCAACTTCTCCTTGATAGCTACAACAGAACACAGACATAACACAAGACACAAAACACTCAACATCTCTTGTGTCCATCTTGCACTATGCAAAAATGAAATATATACATAAAGGACCCTAAGATCTGGAATTCATTTCCCAAATCAGCAAAAGGTCCCCTGCCTGCAAGTCAATTTAGGGCAATATGCACTTAAAAATGATCTCGTCACCCAAAATTAACCATACCAACACTATGCTAAATCATTCAACCAATTTGAAATGACTCAAAAAATTAAAAAAAATTACAATCACCTAATCAATTTAAAACATAATGCATACTTAAAATTGTACTGTTGTAACACTGTAAACTGTACTAGCTGTAATATGTACTGTTATTTTGTGCTACCTCACTACTATAAATCTTATTAATTACAAAATTCTTTGGCTACCTCACTTTAGTAATAAGGTAAAGTAATGAATAACTAAAATTTATCACCATATAACCCATGTCTAGTTTTAAGTGATGTGCAAGCATAAGCATTAGTCTGCCTGAAATGCCTCGGCATGTAAATGGCTTTCTTTGTACCTAACAACACTTCATAAAATGTGAATCACACACCTTTGCAAAGAAACAGAGCTTGTTTGTTTATTTTAACATTAAATACATCACAACAACTGCAAACCTTTTACTCAACACTTGAATACTTCCAGAGATCAGTTTTCTGACACATTGGCATTTTGCTCAAGATATATCTTCCAGACTAGGTAGTAGGTTGGTAGACAGCAAATGCCCAGGGAGGTACTACCATCCTGCCAAGTGAGTGTAAAATGGAAGCCTGTACTTCTTTTACGTGATGGTAGGATTGCTGGTGTCTTTTCTCTGACTTATAAACATGCAAGATTTCAGGTACATCTTGCTACTTTTATTTACACTTAGGTCACACTACACATACATGTACAAGCATATATATACACACCCCACTGGGTTTTCTTCTATTTTTTTACTAGTTCTTGTTCTTGTTTATTTCCTCTTATCTCCATGGGGAAGTGGAACAGAATTCCGCCTCGTAAGCCATGCATGTTGTAAGAGGCGACTAAAATGCTGGGAGCAAGAGGCTAGTAACCCCTTCTCCTGTATAAATTACTAAACTTAAAAAAAAAAATAAACTTTCGTTTTTCTTTTTGGGCCACCCTGCCTCAGTGGGATACGGCCAGTTTGTTGAAAGAAGAAGAATATCTTCCAGAACCAGTTTCTAACATTTTGCATAGAAATATTTTCCTGAAAGATTATTACATTCATAGGAATAAGGAGAAAAAACTAAACTTGTAAGAGTCATACAGCCTCTGGGAGAATGGAAGGGGATCAGGCTTGATTTATGGAATTGGAGTACAGGTACAATTCCTTTGATCAAGAGCCCTTCACCAGCATCAAGGAACCTCCTTTAAGGGGTTATCTTGGGGAAAGCACATCTTTTTTCTAGAGCTTACGATCAATGATTATACTGCCACTAGAATATAAACTTTAGGATTTCTTCTTCATCGTTGTTGTTGCATTTATGGTTTGGTGTGCAAGTATCTGTGAGTTTTCTTCAAAGAACAGGGGTTCAAAAATACCAAAATACCAAATTCAAGAATACCAAAATACCAAATTCAAGAATACCAAAATACCAAATTCAAGAATACCAAAATACCAAATTCAAGAATACCAAAATCCTAAATTCAAAAATACCAAAATACAAAATTCAAGAATACCAAAATACAAAATTAACATTACTATTAAAAATATAAAGTTACCTTACTGTTGTAACTGTAGTGTATCATCTTGGGAAATTATTATCATTATCATATTATTTCAATCAAACAATTGTATAATGTCAACTAGTTCAAGGTTTAAGTTTTAGTTTGCCTGATATGCTCTGCATAACCAGGGGCTTCTCAAAATGCCTGAAATATACTTCATCTAATTTTGTAACAAGTATACACATTTTGAAAATAAAATTTGTTTGTTTATTTAAACAGAAATTCATAATAAACACAATTACATACATTGTTGCAGCATTTTTTGCATGTCCTGAGCTGCGCGTTCCAAATTTCTGGCTCGTTCCTCAAATCTGACGACATCAGGATCAGTGCATTTGCCCTTGTTGGCACCTTTGTCACCCATTGTCACAATATCACCTGCAAACAGGCAAAATATGTCACTATAAATGCAAAATCTTATTACAGGGTATTTTAATATGATGATGGCACTGCCTTCTTTGAAGTTTAATTTCTACTGTTGAATTTACAGCCTAAAAGTTTTTATTCTATCTCAGTTCATTTCAATGTCCAGCCCCAAAGGCACATGGGGTTGAACTTTACTGAATGGAAGTGGAAGAAATTGCCTCTCATTTTTGTTTGGGGTCAAGGACCACAATGGAAATAAGTAACCGTGTCTGACTTTTTTGGGTTATCCTAGGTAAATTACAAATACAGTGGTACCTTGGTATACATCCACTTTGGAATAAGTCCAACTTGATATATGTCATGTTTGGACACGAAAATTTTTGCTTGGTATACAACCTCTGTTTGAAATACGACTCGTGTGCTAGTACTTGTATGGGTCAAAATTAGTCACGACACTGTGCGCTACCCTTGTTTACCTCTGTCTCGAGACAAAGCCATGACTGCCCACTAGCAGAGGAATTTGTGGCCAGAAGCAGTGGTTGAAAGTTGAAAGGGACTTTGAGGGCTTTGAAACTGTGTCTATAGTGGAGGATACTGTCTCTCTGGGCAGGCCCATTGGTCTGGATGTAAGGGTGATGTGGAGGAGTTAGTGGAGAGGCACAGGGAAGAGCCGACCACTGACGAGCTGGAGGAACTTGAGAAGGAGGAGCACAAGACTAAGATGGATGCACTCTCTTCAGGCTCGGAAGAGATTTATTTATTTATTTATTTATTTATTTGAACATAATACATTGAAGTACAAAAAAATACAGTGGTTAAGTGTAACATGCCAAAGCCCCTTGTATGCAGAGCATTATGGGCAGGCTTAAAATTAACTTAAGATTAACTAAACAATGATATATTCAGTGGTAAACATTATTGTAAACAGATAACAATTAAGCACAAATGAGTATTTCAAAGACAGATCATATGGTCATTTACTGTGTTGCTGTGCATTCAGTAGAATGGAGTATTCTGTTAGGTAATGTATTTAAAAATAACAAAGTTTGATTGGGTCACAGGTTAAACATTTATGAGATACAATTATTCAGTATTTATTTAGTTGTGGGTGAGTAGGTGATTTTTAAGTAGAGACTTGAATTTATAAACAGACAGTGTTTCTATTATATTCACAGGTAATGAATTTCAGATTTTTGGGCCTTTAATGTGCATTGAGTTTTTGCATAGTGTGAGATGGACACGAGGAACATCAGAGTTATCTGTGCCTTGTGTTATGGTCATGTGTTCTGTTGAGGTTGGTAAGGAGACATCTGAGGGGAGGGTTTATACCCAAGTTAAGTGTTCTATGTATGTAGTAGGAACAATAATAAGTATGGATGTTTTGTATGGTGAGTAAGTTTAGAGTTTTGAATGTTGGTGGAGTGTGCTGCCTGTAGTGGGAATTTGTTATCATTCTGACTGCAGCGTTTTGTTGGGTAGTTAATGGTCTGAGATGGTGTATTGTTGTTGAGCCCCATGCACAAATTCCATAGGTGAGATAGGGGTAAATAAGTGAGTGATATGGGGCCAGGAGGGCTGACTGTGGAACATAGTACCGTATCTTCGATAGTATGCCTACGGTCTTGGAAATTTGTTGTATATGCGTTTGAAATTTGAGTCTATTATCAAGGTGGATTCCTAAGAATTTTCCCTGTGTGAGCTTTGTGATAGGTGATCCGTTTATCATTATGTTAAGAGGGACATCTGTAGCTCTGTTTCCAAACTGAATGAAGTAGGTTTTGTCAATGTTGAGAGTAAGTTTGTTAATCCTCATCCAGGTAGATATTTTCTGTAATTCGGTATTCACAGTACAGTGGACCCCCGCATAACGATGGCATCGCATAGCGATTTTTCCGCATAACGATTACTTTTATCGCAAAATTTTTGCCCCGCATACCGATTAAAAACCCGCATACCGATTTTCGTCCGAGACGCGTCCAATGTGCCCTCACATGTGCCGGCCGTCCCATTGTTTACCAGCCAGCCTCCGCGGTAACATCCAAGCATACACTCGGAATATTTCGTATTATTACAGTGTTTTCGGTGCTGTTTGTGGAAAATAAGTGACCATGGGCCCCAAGAAAGCTTCTAGTGCCAACCCTGTGGTAAAAAGGGTGGGAATTAGTATGGAAATTAAGAAAGATTTTGAAGGGTTTGGGGCTAACCCTGAGAAGCCTATGCCAGTTGTGGAATCCATTGTGCCTACTTCAAAGATTAAGGAAATGTGTGCAGAGTGGGTTGAACTGCAAACCTTTATAGATGAAAATCACCCTGACACAGCTGTTGCAAGCCGTGCTTGTGACTATTTCAATGACAATGTTATGGCCCATTTTAGGAAAGTCTTGAAGGAACGGAGGTACAGAGCTCTATGGACAGATTTGTTGTGCGACAGAGGTCCAGTGACTCTCAAGCTGGTCCTAGTGCATTAAAAGAAGAAGGGAAGTAACCCCAGAAAAGGACTTGCTACCTCAAGTCCTAATGGAAGGGGATTCCCCTTCTAAACAGTAAGAAGATAATCCCTCTCCCTCCCCCCCATCCCATCAATCATCACAAGATCTTCAATAAAAGTAAGTGTCATGTAATTGTGCATGCCTTTTTCAGTTTTGTGTGTATTAAAATTAACATTTCATGTGGTAAAAAAAAATTTTTTTCATACTTTTGGGCGTCTTGCACGGATTAATTTTATTTCCATTATTTCTTATGGGGAAAATTGATTCGCATAACGATTATTTCGCATAACGATGAGCCCTCTTGCACGGATTAAAATCGTTAACCGGGGGTCCACTGTATTGGCTAGCATGATTGGGCTCGGGTGAGAGAAGACGTGTGTAGTGTCATCTGCAAATAGTGTGGGTCTGAGTAGTTGCGATGCATTTGGTAGGTCATTTATGTAAATGAGAGAGAGAAGAGGGCCAAGGACACTTCCCTGTGAGACACCAACTGTAATTGGCTATGCAGAAGAGTTTGCTTCATTTGTGTACATGTATTGGCTTCTGTTGCTGAGGTATGACTTTAGGTAGTTGAGGGAGTGCCCTCTTATACCATAGTGTGACAATTTTATATGGAGCAAGTCATGGTCAATGAAGATCCCCAGTGGGACTTCTTTTTTCTCTAGTGCAGTGTATATTTGTTCTAGCATGTGTATAATAGCATCATTCGTATTTTTATTAGGCCTGAACCCAAACTGACAGGGGCTGAGTATGTTGTGGGAGATGAGGTAGGAATAGATTCACTTATGAATTAATTTTTTGAAGATTTTAGAGAGAGGTTGTAAGTTGGATATAGGCCTATAGTTATTCAAGTCTGTTTGGTCTCCTCCTTTATGGATCGGGGTGACCCTCGCTATTTTGAGAACTGTAAGGGAAGGTAGAAGATTCGATGGATTTGTTAAAGAGTGTTGTAATGATAGAGGAAGCCCCTACTTCATTAATCATGGAAATCTTTGCCAAATGGATGGATGTCAAAAACTTTGCAGAAAAGTACCACCCCAATAAAGCCCAAACAAGCCATAATAGCATTGTCTAGAATGAGCAGATAATGTCACATTTCCGAAACATCCTGAGGAGAAGGCAGAAACAAAGTTCTTTGGACAGATTTTTAGTAAAAGTCAAACCTGGTGAGCTTTAACCAGGTCCAAATAGGGAAAAGAACAGTGTTTAAATTATTTTATACAACCTCCATCAATGTATAATATACCAATAACAATAGGATTTTTTCATGGGAACTGATTAATCGTTTTCCCTATACTATTTCTTATGGGAAAATTCTTTTGGTATACGTCCTGTTTGGTATAAGTCCAAAGTCCTGGAATGGATTAAGGACGTATACCGAGGTACCATTGTATGTTACTATATTACTATGTATGATACTTTGCATAACTGTATTTATGTGTATCTGTACCTAAATAAACTTACTCAACAATGTTCTACCACTAAACTATATAAATATTTAATTGCTAATAGAGTGGCGAGATATCATAATACGTATTACAATTTTGTAATACTCATTACACCTGTGTAAGGAAGAGGAAGGTAGGTCCAATTCCTTGGATCAAGAGCCCTTCAGGCAAGATACCATAATTAGGTACTGTACAATATTACGTCCATCTTCACCTGTTAACTTATACCACAAATATTATATTAATAATAATGTGATAAGAGAGTAGAAGTATTATTACTGCGTAGTTTTAATACAGCATTGTACTTGAAGCACAAAACCCGTACTCACTTATATGTAGTCACAGCTCCTGGCCCCGTGTGGGTGATTTAATGTTAATGCAGCTGCATTGTCGAGAGAACTACTGCATGATAACTACTGCATGATAACTACTGCATGATAACTGCTGCATGATAACTGCTGCATGATAACTGCTGCATGATAACTACTGCATGATAACTACTGCATGATAACTGCTGCATGATAACTACTGCATGATAACTGCTGCATGATAACTGCTGCATGATAACTACTGCATGATAACTGCTGCATGATAACTGCTGCATAACTACTGCATGATAACTGCTGCATGATAACTACTGCATGATAACTGCTGCATGATAACTGCTGCATGATAACTACTGCATGATAACTGCTGCATGATAACTGCTGCATGATAACTACTGCATGATAACTGCTGCATGATAACTGCTGCATGATAACTGCTGCATGATAACTACTGCATGATAACTGCTGCATGATAACTACTCCATAACTACTGCATGATAACTATTGCATGATAATTGTACTCCAGGTGATAACATCTGGTGATATGTAACATTATTATCCCTAGAGTGGTGTGTATAATGCAGATAATTGTAGTGATAACAGTGAAGCATCGAAGCATCAGTGAGATAGTAAGTACAATTATCACAGTATAAATTACCCAGGATAACCAAAAAAAAAGTCAAAGTGATTCATTTTCCTGGTGATGGTTGAGGAAGAGCAGTTGTTGAACACTGTTACTTACCTGACACAGCTGTTACTGTTGGTGACGTGTCACCAGTACTAGTCAGGACTCTGGAGATAATAAAAGATACAGGAAGAGCCCGTGTGTACCACTTGGGTGGGTGTCCAGGGGTTTCCCTGGGGGTTCCTCTCAGGGGATCAGCCCCCCCACCAACCCCCTGATGCTTCAAGATATCCAGCACAAAATCGCTACTTTCTCTATAACATGTTTGTCTGCCATTTTCACCTCTATGTGATATTATTAGTTTCACAGTTTTCATAATTAGCATATTACTGAGTTATAGATGTATGAATAACTTAGTGTAAAAATTTTTGCTAAACATCTACAAATAGATTCTTCCACAAGTTCCTGTACACACATCATTTTATTATATAATTCTTGTGTGGAACAAGTATTACACTTGTTAATATCAAATTTAATAATTAAATCAGTTGGGAAGTTTGTAATATTCAGTAGAGATAGACCGAGTAATGAAAGGTGAAAATATATGACACCACTACAAAGACTGCCAACGTTATTGCTTATTATTATATTCTTTATCTTTAAAGTTAAGTATTTAAGCTTGTGTGTAGTGACATGGAGATAACAGTAACTAACTGGTGTATAACTCTCATAGCTTGGGCATACATACACTTGTAATACAAAAAGCAAATGAGACAAGTGTGGTGGCAGGCGGCCACCATCTCCATGCATTATAATATTATACGCAATTCCTACATATATACAGCACTCAAATACACATATTTACACATATACATAATATTTAAAGCTTGTGTTGCCCAATTAAGTAAAACTGTAACTTGAAACTGTCAGTTCTAGAGACATGTTAACAACCAAGGGAGAATTGTCTTGTGATGGCAGACAAGACCTTGAAAATTACCTTCACATCCGCCTATTGTAAATCTTTATTTACGCCTCAGACAGAATTTCAGACTTTTGTCATAATATTTATGCCGACAAACTGATGAATAAGAAACATGTGTAACACCTGGGTCTCATTATCTGACGTGATGTTTGAAGAAGCCTACTGTGGAAAATACTGTACATATTTTCCAGAAATACAGTAGTTATATGTAAATAGATGGCCATACTGTATTTAATAAAAATTGTTATAAAAAATGGGAAGCCTGCGCAGACGAGACTCGCCATTGTTTTTTGAACTGAGTAACAAACGTTAAGATAAGATAAGATTTCGTTCGGATTTTTAACCCCGGAGGGTTAGCCACCCAGGATAACCCAAGAAAGTCAGTTCGTCATCGAGGATTGTCTAACTTATTTCCATTGTGGTCCTTAATCTTGTCCCCCAGGATGCCACCCACACCAGTCGACTAACACCCAGGTACCTATTTGCTGCTAGGTGAACAGGACAACAGGTGTAAGGAAACGTGTCGAAATGTTTCCACCCGCCGGGAATCGAACCCGGGCCCTCCGTGCGTGAAGCGGGAGCTTTAGCCACCAGGCCACCGGAAGAATTTTCGTGCTCTAGAGGTAAAATTGGGCTGACACCTACTACGTAGGCGGAAAGTTTCAACAATAAAAATTCCAAACTGTTGCACATGTGTCTTAATCATCACAAGGTACACAAATAACCCGCACATAAAAGAGAGAAGCTTACGACGACGTTTCGGTCCGACTTGGACCATTGACAAAGTCACACTAACAGAGGTGGAGCAGGACGGCTATATATAGGCAGGAAGAGGTGGAGGTAGTAGTAGTAGTAGTACTACTGCTCCACCTCTGTTAGTGTGACTTTGTCAATGCTCTAAGTCGGACCGAAACGTCGTCGTAAGCTTCTCTCTTTTATGTGCGGGTTATTTGTGTATCGTTCCAGTCACGGTATTGTGCCTTTTTGTTATTCATCACAAGGTATTTTACACATAATGCAACAACAAAATTTTGAGGACACAGGTTTTATGGGCACATGCGGTATTTATAATGCAGTATGTTAATTCAGTTATCCAAAGGTTAACAAAATATAGTAGTGTGATTTATTTATATTGACAGCAGTTGGGTAAACAACAGCAGTCTTCCACTGACAGCACCAGCAGCAGTCATCCACTGACAGCACCAGCAGCAGTCATCCACTGACAGCACCAGCAGCAGTCATCCACTGATAGCACCAGCAGCAGTCTTCCACTGACAGCACCAGCAGCAGTCATCCACTGATAGCACCAGCAGCAGTCATCCACTGACAGCACCAGCAGCAGTCATCCACTGACAGCACCAGCAGCAGTCATCCACTGACAGCAGCAGTCATCCACTGACAGCACCAGCAGCAGTCATCCACTGATAGCACCAGCAGCAGTCTTCCACTGACAGCACCAGCAGCAGTCATCCACTGATAGCACCAGCAGCAGTCATCCACTGACAGCACCAGCAGCAGTCGTCCACTGACAGCAGCAGTCATCCACTGACAGCACCAGCAGCAGTCATCCACTGATAGCACCAGCAGCAGTCTTCCACTGACAGCACCAGCAGCAGTCATCCACTGATAGCACCAGCAGCAGTCATCCACTGACAGCACCAGCAGCAGTCATCCACTGACAGCGAAACACCAACGTCAAAGACCTGGGAGTGATTATGTCGGAGGATCTCACCTTCAAGGACCATAACATTGTATCAATCGCATCTGCTAGAAAAATGACAGGATGGATAATGAGAACCTTCAAAACTAGGGAGGCCAAGCCCATGATGACACTCTTCAGGTCACTTGTTCTATCTAGGCTGGAATATTGCTGCACTCTAACAGCACCTTTCAAGGCAGGTGAAATTGCCGACCTAGAAAATGTACAGAGAACTTTCACGGCGCGCATAACGGAGATAAAACACCTCAATTACTGGGAGCGCTTGAGGTTTCTAAACCTGTATTCCCTGGAACGCAGGAGGGAGAGATACATGATTATATACACCTGGAAAATCCTAGAGGGACTAGTACCGAACTTGCACACGAAAATCACTCACTATGAAAGCAAAAGACTTGGCAGACGATGCACCATCCCCCCAATGAAAAGCAGGGGTGTCACTAGCACGTTAAGAGACCATACAATAAGTGTCAGGGGCCCGAGACTGTTCAACTGCCTCCCAGCACACATAAGGGGGATTACCAACAGACCCCTGGCAGTCTTCAAGCTGGCTCTGGACAAGCACCTAAAGTCAGTTCCTGATCAGCCGGGCTGTGGCTCGTACGTTGGTTTGCGTGCAGCCAGCAGCAACAGCCTGGTTGATCAGGCGCTGATCCACCAGGAGGCCTGGTCACAGACCGGGCCGCGGGGGCATTGACCCCCGAAACTCTCTCCAGGTAAGCAGCAGTCGTCCACTGACAGCAGCAGCATCCACTGACAGCACCAGCAGCAGTCATCCACTGACAGCACCAGCAGCAGTCGTCCACTGACAGCACCAGCAGCAGTCATCCACTGACAGCACCAGCAGCAGTCATCCACTGACAGCACCAGCAACAGTCATCCACTGATACCAGTTGAGTAGACAGCAGCAGAAGTCATCCATTGATAGCAATTGAGTAGACAGCAGCAGTCATCCACTGACAGCAGCAGCAGGAACCATCCACTGACAGCAACAGCAGCAGGAGCCATCCACTGACAGCAGCAGTCATCCACTGACAGCAGCAGCATGAGCCATCCACTGACAGCAGCAGCAGCAGCAGCAGGAACCATCCACTGACAGCAGCAGTCATCCACTGACAACAGCAGCAGCAGTCATCCACTGACAGCAGCAGCAGCAGCCATCCACTGACAGCAGCAGCAGGAACCATCCACTGACAGCAGCAGTCATCCACTGACAACAGCAGCAGTAGTCATCCACTAACAACAGCAGCAGCAGTCATCCACTGACAACAGCGGCAGCAGTCATCCACTGACAGCAGCAGCAGTCATCCACTAACAACAGCAGCAGCAGTCATCCACTGACAACAGCAGCAGTAGTCATCCACTGACAACAGCAGCAGCAGTCATCCACTGACAGCAGCAGCAGTCATCCACTAACAACAGCAGCAGCAGTCATCCACTGACAACAGCAGCAGCAGTCATCCACTGACAACAGCAGCAGCAGTCATCCACTGACAGCAGCAGCAGTCATCCACTAACAACAGCAGCAGCAGTCATCCACTGACAACAGCAGCAGTAGTCATCCACTGACAACAGCAGCAGCAGTCATCCACTGACAGCAGCAGCAGTCATGCACTAACAACAGCAGCAGCAGTCATCCACTGACAACAGCGGCAGCAGTCATCCACTGGAGTTTACCTGGAGAAAGTTCCGGAGGTCAACGCCCCCGCGGCCCGGTCTGTGACCAGGCCTCCTGGTGGATCAGAGCCTGATCAACCAGGCTGTTGCTGCTGGCTGGACGCAAACCAACGTACGAGCCACAGCCCGGCTGGTCAGGAACCGACTTTAGGTGCTTGTCCAGTGCCAGCTTGAAGACTGCCAGGGGTCTGTTGGTAATCCCCCTTATGTATGCTGGGAGGCAGTTGAACAGTCTCGGGCCCCTGACACTTATTGTATGGTCTCTTAACGTGCTAGTGACACCCCTGCTTTTCATTGGGAGGATGTTGCATCGTCTGCCAAGTCTTTTGTTTTCGTAGTGAGTGATTTTCGTGTGCAAGTTCGGTACTAGTCCCTCTAGGATTTTCCAGGTGTATATAATCATGTATCTCTCCCGCCTGCGTTCCAGGGAATACAGGTTCAGGAACCTCAAGCGCTCCCAGTAATTGAGGTGTTTTATCTCCGTTATGCGCGCCGTGAAGGTTCTCTGTACATTTTCTAGGTCAGCAATTTCACCTGCCTTGAAAGGTGCTGTTAGTGTGCAGCAATATTCCAGCCTAGATGGAACAAGTGACCTGAAGAGTGTCATCATGGGCTTGGCCTCCCTAGTTTTGAAGGTTCTCATTATCCATCCTGTCATTTTTCTAGCAGATGCGATTGATACAATGTTATGGTCCTTGAAGGTGAGATCCTCCGACATGATCACTCCCAGGTCTTTGACGTTGGTGTTTCGCTCTATTTTGTGGCCAGAATTTGTTTTGTACTCTGATGAAGATTTAATTTCCTCGTGTTTACCATATCTGAGTAATTGAAATTTCTCATCGTTGAACTTCATATTGTTTTCTGCAGCCCACTGAAAGATTTGGTTGATATCCGCCTGGAGCCTTACAGTGTCTGCAATGGAAGACACTGTCATGCAGATTCGGGTGTCATCTGCAAAGGAAGACACGGTGCTGTGGCTGACATCCTTGTCTATGTCGGATATGAGGATGAGGAGCAAGATTCAAATTCAAATTCAAATTCAAATTCAAATTCAAACTTTATTCTCTATAAGTATTACAATGCTGAGTTTACAGGATTTGGTTATTGTGTGGTTTACATGTAGTAAAATAATAATTACAGAGTGTACCACTAGAACGCCTAGCATGGCTAGG